TGGAAATCCTTTGTGTATATACTTGGTGACACTCTACAAGTCAGGAAGGATTTCGAGTTACACCAGTTTCAACACTCATGTCAATATAATCATTCGGTTTGCCTCGTAAATATTTGGTTTAATGCAACAAGTGTTGAATCAGTCACTAAACGTACTTCAGACGACACCATTCACAAAGTGTTGACTAAAACATATTCCTAAACGGAAAGCGGCGTTGTGGTTGCTCAGATTTGTCACATCTGTAACATGTTTCTGTGTTTGTTGGGATTCAATCACCATACAGTTTGTCTCAGCGACCAACGAGATTGAATGTAAGATGTCTGCTAATATCGCTAAACACCACCAAACCTAGTATAAGATGTATTTTATGCTTGCACATGTTTTATGATCATTTCCAAATCCTGATCCAGTTGAGTAAGTAGTATTCCACACTGCGTAATCACTTAGCAAGCAGAAATACTTTCTTTTCTGAATCCTGTGGACCTATGCAGCCCTCGACCTCAGTTGTTTTTCTGTTGTAAATACGTTACGAGAATGCTAAAAAATGTGTGTCTCTGTTTGATTTGGAGGTTTCCTTGTGTTCTGAGTTGGTGTCCTTTTTTAAATCCTCTTTTGTAAGTGTCAGAGATCATTGGTTGGTTTGTGCTGAGATGGATACTGAGAGTGGAGTGGTTTCATCACAAGAACTGTCCTCTTGATGCTGTATGTGATGGTATGTGCAAAGCAATGACTTTAAGAATAAAAATATGAAGGTTTAAAGGCATATAGAGATAACATTATGACTATGACTACTGAAAAAAAATATATTATATACTACCGGTATATTGTAATATTATAGATAATTTAGTTCAGTAATCTATTTAATTTTTTTACAAGCAACTTTGATGAAATAATTTATAAAACAATCTCACAAGTTATGATCTTTTCGAAGGTATGATTATACTGCTAAAATGATTAAAGTTGTGTTCTGATGAAATAACAAATATCGTCTGTTCATTGTGACTGGTTGCTTCTTCATTTGGAGTGTGTGGTCAGTCAGACAAAGTGACTTTTTCAGTCAAAGGAGGTTGCAAACCATTATTTTATGGGAAATCATCCCATAAGTGTCATACTTACAGTAGCTGTATGTAAAATAATAACTATTAAAACAAATATATTTTGATATAATTATGGATATTTTACATATGACGCAGCATTGCATCTTGAAAAGAAATTCTGCAGAAATGCCTAATATTTTCTGGTGATTAAGGGATAATTTAAGACTTCTTCACATTACAAATTATTGTTGAAAGCAAAAATGCTACAAAATTCATAATATTTTGAGAAAGTGTGTCATGCTACAGCAAAACATTTTTTATTTTATTTTTTGGAATCAGCACTTCAAAATTAGTAACAAGTGTTGGAATTCATTCAGCAAATATGATGATGGTGTAATTAATAAAAAAAAAAGAGGTAGCATGCTTATCTGTCTGAAGTGACCTGTTTAGTAGCTATACAGGTTTACAGGACAAACCTGATCAACCAGACTGGCGCACATGAGGGTTAACAGAAATAACAAAGAGCAGTCATGTTGAAAGAACAAAAGTAAAGCCAACAGTCCTATAAGCTGACACAGAAGTGGACCTCACAGCAGGTTATGCCTGTTTGAGCGTAGATTTGCACAGACATTTATCTATAAAATTATTCAAGCAAATATCCAAGACTGAGCAGTGATCTCTCTCAGTAATCACAGTGTAATATGGAACTAATTCCTGACTGAGAAGAACAGTCAGTGATAGATTTATGTCAATGTTATGTGAGTAAAGTCTGTTCTGGGACCGTAGTAGCCTGAAATTTTACACAGAAGTAAAATTTTATTTTAAAAAGACTGATCACAAGACAAGATTTTCTTCAATGCAGTACCAGCACTGCCAATTAGGTCAGTCAATATTTCAGTCTCTCTTTAAATTAGCTGAGCATTCATGCAAAGCTTACATGAATTTTTCCGCTAGATCAGATGTCATACACTTGTATTATTTGTGTATTCAAATGATAACTTTGACTACTATTCCATTGTGATGTGCGTGAGGAAAAATAAACATGCAAAATATGAAAGATCAAAGGAAAAATCATAGAATGTAAAATAAATGCATTTTATGAAATGTAGCTATTTGATGTATATTATTATAGTTTATAATACAATATATATATATATATATATATATATATATATATATATATATATATATATTGTTCATATGATATACTGCAATATAGGCATATAGGCATTACTTATTTATTTAATTTTTTATCTATTTATTTATTTGATGATTGTTCATATGATATACTGCAATATAGGCATACATACTTTACTTATTTATTTAATTTTTTATCTATTTATTTATTTGATGATAGTGACTTGCCACATATTCAGATGTATTATCAGGAAATGCATTTTATTCACCTTTTTGAACATGAACTTAAATATAATACAAAATACACCTGGCATGGGGTGGGGAGAGCCCTAGACCTAGGCTAGTTGTCACCCAGGAAAGTTGTGACAATAGCACAGTTATAGTTTTCATGTAAGATTGCAGTTACTTTAAAGGGATAGTTCACCCAAAAATGAAAATGACCCCATAATTTACTCACCCTCAAGTTAGGCGTATATGATTTTCTTCTTTCAGACGAATGCAATAGTTGTATTAAAAAATATCCTGTCTCTTCTAAGCTTCATAATGGCAGTGAATGGTTATCAAGATTTTGAAGCCCAAAAAAGGTGTGCCCATCCATCATATAAATTACTCCACACGGCTCCTGGGGTTAATAAAGGCCTTTTGAAGGGAAGCGATGCACTTGTGTAAGAAAAATATCCATATTTAAAACTTTACATACCGTAATCTCTAGCTTACACTAACTGTCATATGCGCATTCACGAGAGAGTGGCGTTCTAGTGGATGATGGAGGACGTAGGTATAAGCTACATTAAGGGGCCGACCTGTACCATATACAATTAAAACACTTTTTATAGAAGACTATTATGAGTACAGTCTTCATTTCATGTGGGTGTACTGTAAACCATTCAGATGACTCTTCACCAAAATACAATTTATGTCTTAACACTTTTTAAAGCACTTCAAAATTCTAAATTAGTTGATTTTGTCATTTCTGTTCTCAAAATTAAAATACCATCTAACAGTGGTGTAGTGCAGGGTATACGGCATATACCCACTTCTTTATCAGTCAGCATTGCGTATACCCACTTATAATTCCTCTCAGATGCGCATGGTTCAGTAGTGTCCTGCATAGCCAAAACCATGACAGTCCAGCACGTGAGTAGCTAATCCAATCGCATGTGAATAAATGCAAGTATTCCCTAAAAACACCCAGTAAAGACAGTGATGTGATCCGGACAGAGGCGTAAACACTCTCATGCAGTGTATGTTTCATTCATACTGTCACACAGAAAGTCCAAAACAGCCTCATAGAAGTAATTATGATTTGCCAGGAATTCCCTAATATTGATAAAGGCATCCAGCTATCGCTGTAATCAAAGTGATCTCAGGTGTAGCTAAACTGAATAAAAAGAAACATTTTGACTGATGAAACGTGAAGACATTAAACACACGATTGCGACAATATATGGTTTATGTGTGTTTTTTCAAGTCATCTCCAGGTAATAAAAAAGCATCTGAATAATGCAGTGCTATAACATAGCATTTATTACAGTTGGCTATCCACCTTATTTTTCAATGCAGAAGTAAGTTGTTTTCTGTGAATATGCAAGACTTCCGGTTCATTAGCCGCTGTAGGGAATTATTGAGAAAAATAGCAAAGTGCAGTAAACCGTAAAACTGTTTGCACTATAAACCAGTGTGTTCATAATTAAGACAATACATTAAAATAATATGACACACCAGTTTGCAATATCAAGCAGCAAAACGAGCTGTTTTGTACAGCTAAAATAGCTGGAAGCAGATGATACCAGAAGCTAGACCAAAAAAAAAAAAATAGACGAATGGCTGCGTCCACACTTACAGGAAAAATAAGGTGGATAGAAATAATAAAATATATCTTCTGCCTTTTTCTGTGCTAAAGATGGAAAAAGTGTTTGTAGTATAAACAAACCAATAAAATCTTCATTAGGAAAATATTATAGAATACAAATTATTGTCCAGCAGTGCATTTGATTTCTCAGCCAAGTAAAAGTAATAGATAGGAAAATAATAATAATAATAATAATAATAATAAAACCTGTCAATTAGAAAAACTCACTTCTGAAATTATGGCTCCGCTCCTGTGTCAGGGCTCGAAATTACCAGTTGCCCGTCACTGGTATAAGAGAAACAGTCAGTCACACACAGAAGCCGAGCTGCACAATTCTGGATTAACTGAGATCATGATTCTCCCACTATTCTGAACGGACAACTAAACAAAATATGTAATTTACTAGAGGTTCTGACAAAATGTTAATTGTTTTTATTTATTTGTTTGTTTGAATTAATTATTGTAAAATCTGCACCTCTTCTGTGGCTAATATTAATTTAATAATGATGCTTACTCCATGAATTCAAACAAGCAGCAGAAGTTAAGTGTGCAAATGCTACTGGTTTGGGGTGAACTAAATGAGCAAGACTAGTTTTACATGTCACTGTTTAGAACACATCCTTTGCTGGGATGGGGGCGTACATTAAGTACCCACTTCTCAAGGCACCACTACACCACTGCCATCTAATATCATCATGCTGTTTTACTTTTTAACACAATAGACTAACAAACATTCACAGACGACTCAGCTACACTGAAGGTTTGCCTACCAAGAGGTATTTTCCATAAATATCACATGGGGAAAGTTGCCAGATTTTAATTCCGCAAGTTGTCACATATGTTTTAATTGTATAAATGTATACGATTTATCATTAGCGATGTTACTGAAGACATACGCTATTTGTAACAATTACAATAATAAACACTTGTAAATACGGACATGGCAGTACCGTCAGCAGAAGGTTCCGCTGTTTTCGCCCGGAACTTCCTAGAAGCGACACCAGCGTTCAGCAGCAGTCCGGCTAGATTTGCTGCTAGCTACAGTGGATGAGCTGTTATTTCACGGGATGCTCGTACAGATGAACGTTTCACCTGCTCGTAAGCTCAGCTCTCTGAAGATGTGCCGCTGAAGAATGCGATAGATGTGAGTAGTTGTGTATCAGACTGTTAGCAGATGTGTGGTGGACATGGCTAGCAGCTGTATTAAGTTAGCTGTGCAGTACATGAAGTCCAGAGGGGGAAAGCTGCTGTCAACATCAATCTGTCATCTATCGGTGCGTTTATGATTCGTGTCGGCTGGGTTTGGACTTCAGGGTGTTTTTTCTCTCTCACGATGACAACAGCTGGATGAAAAACAACATGCGAGGGGTTTAGTGTTTTACTGTATGCTTTGATATTGGGGTCAGGTCGTGGTACAGCTTCTGTTTTTATTACATTGCATGGCGATCTGGGAAAACAGCTCGTTTTGGGAGCTCTAGCCTAAATGTTTCTTTGTGCAGTATAGATGAATGAGTGAACACTTATCCTCATCTGCATTCCAGTGTAATTGGTTGCTCAAGACTGGACTTGGTCCCTTAACACATTGAGGGCTCCAGACAGCACTCTGTTGTGTCATCAGATAATACCTGTGTTTAGATGACTCAATGTATATGTGCACCTACTGTCTGCTTCTGCAAAAAGTACTGTGGTGATACCACGGTACAGTGATGGTATCAGAGGGTAATACCATGGTATTTCAGTAAGGCCATTGTAGGGCTAGAAGGTCTGACCAAAATCCTATATCACAGTAAATAATTGTATATAGTGGCAACTGTACATATTGCAATATAGATAACAAAAAATTGCTTATGTATTACATAACCATGTGTTAATGCCTGTTTTTTGGGGGGGATAGTCCAGTGAATTAAGTACTTTACAGATGAAAATCACTCTATCTAATTTGATTATTTTCTCTTTCTTTTTGGAAATTTCCATTAGGAAAATAAGTGAAAGTAAAATAGTTGAAATTATAAAACAAATATTTCCAGCTTTTTCTGATTGAATGCACCTCGTTCAAAGTTGTTGTGAAATAGTCAAGTTATTTTGAAAGTGTACAAATATAAGTGGGTGTGTGTGTGTGTGTGTGTATATATATATATATGGGGAATGGGAAGGGCAGCATTAGTCCACCGTAAGGCAAAACACTATATACAACACTGGGAGGGGGAAATAAAACATTCAGAAACTGTGATTATATAGACAAAAAAAAGAAGAAGAAATGTATACAAATAATAACAAAAACACCATAGATGTGGGTAGGAAAGGGGACATTGGACCGTGCTAAAGAAAAAGAACAAAAGCAAACCAAATCTTTCTAACCTAACTTAAACTATCTAACAAAAAAAAAAAATGTAGAAACAAAAAATCTACAATGTCTGTGATGCCGTAACTGTCCTACACCGACTACGAACAAACAAAAAATAAAGCAGGTGGCACGTGTCCCTAGCCTAGTGTAAGTGTGCACAATGTATGTCACGTGACATAACTTACCTATTGCTTTTCCTTCAGCCAACACAAACACAACGATAATAATCACAAATGAAGGAAAGGAAAAGGTTAAGCTCCTTAAAAGTGACTGCAGTAACACTCTGATGATAACTCAAAACAAAGCCAGCAGAATAAACACAATGAATTAACTTAGCATGGTGGCAAGCCTCTATATGAACACAGATATGCCCACTTGATAAGTTCTCAGGATTCCAGCAACCAATCATTGGCAAGGCACCTCCTGACATCAGCACACTGGACTCAGCCCTTGACGATGATTGACAGTGGCATGTACCAATCAGCACGCCCTGCCAAACCAAAAGTAAAACGGAGAGCGGCAGAAAAACAGCTCGGAAACAAACAACTCCTCCTAATGTCACATAGGGATGTAACAAGAAGAAAAGCCATTTTAGAAGAAGATCAAGTTCTTACAGTTGGATTAAAGACTTAGAAGACAAGGATACTTCATTGTAAATGATTCATATGTGCACATTATTTCTAAGAAAAAAATGCTTCTGTTCATAATCTGTAATCCAATTTTAAAAGCTTTGATCTTCCACTGTAATGACTTTCCTTTTCTGCTGACATTACTTAGTCCCTTACAGGCTATTGGGTAATATTATCTTTCTAGGGATGCACCGAAATGAAAATTCTTGGCCGAAGCCGAACAAAATTAAACACTGGAACACCGAATATCAAACACGGTTTTTCGCATTTTGCCATTTTTTTTCACCATTGCATAAATTAAATAGCCAAAATGTGCTTTTTACTGCTTTGTCCTGCTTTTCAAATACAAAATCAATTACAAAACAACTATTTAAAATATTTACTTAACACTGACTGAACATTTTTTAACATTCTAGCAGACATTATACCATCAAAGCAAAATTGTACTTAAAATTAATAAGTTGGTAAAATAGCTTAATATTTTTTGGCCATTTTTGAGACTTGAATCAGGCATGTATTTTTTACTGTACAAATAAAGGCAGCCTTGCTGAGCAGAAGAGAATTCTTTTAAAACATTAGAATATATTACAGATCCCAATTTGAACACTGTGTGTGAATGTTATAATAAATGTATTAATAGAGCTGTTGTAGGGTAATTATTATTATTATCATTATGGTCTTGCTTTTTTTTATTGCATTTTACAGAACAACAGTAAAATTACAATACTATTATTTATGAATGTTGATGGAGTTGTTGCTTTATAAATGATTCTCATTACGAATTTGGGAAGATGTTTGTCGCACGTATCACATTGTCACATGCCTTTAAAAAAACAAAATCACAAAAATGTTACTGAGCAACTGACGAGTAACACAGTTTCAGCACAGATTTTCCTCGCGCTTTGGACTTTGAACCCTGGCGCCGTGAGCTCATGCAGCGCTGTCAGAATACATGCAATTCGTGCGTGCATTAGAAAATATAACATTCTGCAGTTTATTTACTAATCGTTTGAGGCCATATCAATCATCATACAGTAGCCTAACCACCAGCATTAGCCACATCTTCTTCTCATCGGAGACGTGATGCAGCACTAAACAGTCTCTTGCTGTCGGTGCTTCGTGCTTGTCATGATTTCTGCATCTTTCTCTGATAGTTTTAAATACTTTCACACTGCCGACATGTTTGCTGCATTAGTGCGTGCCTCTATTTGATCGCTTAAGTCATTGTTTGGTACATATTATTCTGCCTTTTCGGTTATTTGGCCGAACACCGAAAGAGATTTTTTTGCTATTTTCGGCCAAATAATTTCGGTTGCCGAACATTCGGTGCATCCCTATATCTAACAGCTGTTAAAGTTTACTTTTAGCTAAATCATACTCAGTCTGGCTCCATTATGGTAACGCCCACTTTTCGTGATCCAATCAATTACTGATGGATAAATTAGTTTCTACTCTACATTTCCTTTCGCATATATGTGAAATTATGGAAGTGAAATACATTGTGAATGGAAATTCACATTGTCTTCACAAATTTGTCCTCATTTCGGGGTTAAAGTTGGCCTGTTATGACCATTGATTTGGCCTGCCATGTCTTACCATAATAGGGGAAAATAGGAAGAAACACTTGCCATTGAAGTAGTATATCTTAATTTTTTTTTGTTTTTTTTATTTTTAACTGAAATATTTTTAAAATTAAATTTTAATATAATACTGTTTAAAATAATGCAGCATTTACTACGATCAAGTTAGATTTTTGTCATTCTTGGAAAAAAATTGTACATCTCTAAAATATAATGACACCACCCCACCCAATAAACCTACCTTCTGTGTTTCCCCAGATTACACCTGAAGTGAGTACGGAGACTGTTGTCATCCCGGTTGTCATGGAGAAGCCATGGAGGTTATGGGGGGCACTGGAGGCGTGTTTGCTGACAGTGTGCGCCTGGTCCTGGGCAGTCTGCCGTGTCTCCCTGCTGGCCCTCATTCTGACCTTCCACCTGTACGGAGGCTTCACACTGCTGGGACTCATTCTGGCCTCTGTGGCTGGCCTCCTGTACAAGTTCCAGGATGTGCTGCTCTACTTTCCCGACCAGCCCTCATCATCGCGCCTTTACATCCCCATGCCGGCGGGAATCCCCCACGAGAACGTGTACATCCGCACCAAAGACGGTGTGCGGCTCAACCTCATCTTGCTCCGTTACACTGGCGAAAACTCCGCCTCTGCTCCCACCATTTTATATTTCCACGGCAATGCGGGGAACATCGGCCACCGCGTCCCAAACGCACTGCTCATGCTGGTCAACCTGAAGGTCAACGTGGTTCTGGTGGACTACAGAGGCTACGGCAAAAGCGAAGGAGAACCTAGCGAAGAGGGACTGTACCAAGACGCAGAGGCCACCTTGGATTACGTCATGACCCGATCGGACATCGACAAGACCAAGGTGGTGCTTTTCGGCCGCTCATTGGGTGGCGCGGTGGCCATCCGTCTGGCATCATGCAACCCGCATCGAGTGGCCGCCATCATGGTGGAGAACACTTTCCTGAGCATCCCACACATGGCGGCCACGCTGTTCTCTTTCTTCCCCATGCGTTACCTACCGCTCTGGTGCTACAAGAACAAGTTTCTGTCCTATAGACATGTGGCACTCTGCCGTATGCCATCTCTCTTCATTTCGGGCTTATCAGATCAACTCATCCCTCCGATGATGATGAAACAGCTGTACGAGCTGTCGCCGTCTCGGACTAAACACCTCGCCATCTTTCCTGAGGGTACGCACAATGACACCTGGCAGTGCCAGGGTTATGGGGTTAAAGTTGGCCTGTTATGACCATTGATTTGGCCTGCCATGTCTTACCATAATAGGGGAAAATAGGAAGAAACACTTGCCATTGAAGTAGTATATCTTAATTTTTTTTTGTTTTTTTTATTTTTAACTGAAATATTTTTAAAATTAAATTTTAATATAATACTGTTTAAAATAATGCAGCATTTACTACGATCAAGTTAGATTTTTGTCATTCTTGGAAAAAAATTGTACATCTCTAAAATATAATGACACCACCCCACCCAATAAACCTACCTTCTGTGTTTCCCCAGATTACACCTGAAGTGAGTACGGAGACTGTTGTCATCCCGGTTGTCATGGAGAAGCCATGGAGGTTATGGGGGGCACTGGAGGCGTGTTTGCTGACAGTGTGCGCCTGGTCCTGGGCAGTCTGCCGTGTCTCCCTGCTGGCCCTCATTCTGACCTTCCACCTGTACGGAGGCTTCACACTGCTGGGACTCATTCTGGCCTCTGTGGCTGGCCTCCTGTACAAGTTCCAGGATGTGCTGCTCTACTTTCCCGACCAGCCCTCATCATCGCGCCTTTACATCCCCATGCCGGCGGGAATCCCCCACGAGAACGTGTACATCCGCACCAAAGACGGTGTGCGGCTCAACCTCATCTTGCTCCGTTACACTGGCGAAAACTCCGCCTCTGCTCCCACCATTTTATATTTCCACGGCAATGCGGGGAACATCGGCCACCGCGTCCCAAACGCACTGCTCATGCTGGTCAACCTGAAGGTCAACGTGGTTCTGGTGGACTACAGAGGCTACGGCAAAAGCGAAGGAGAACCTAGCGAAGAGGGACTGTACCAAGACGCAGAGGCCACCTTGGATTACGTCATGACCCGATCGGACATCGACAAGACCAAGGTGGTGCTTTTCGGCCGCTCATTGGGTGGCGCGGTGGCCATCCGTCTGGCATCATGCAACCCGCATCGAGTGGCCGCCATCATGGTGGAGAACACTTTCCTGAGCATCCCACACATGGCGGCCACGCTGTTCTCTTTCTTCCCCATGCGTTACCTACCGCTCTGGTGCTACAAGAACAAGTTTCTGTCCTATAGACATGTGGCACTCTGCCGTATGCCATCTCTCTTCATCTCGGGCTTATCAGATCAACTCATCCCTCCGGTGATGATGAAACAGCTGTACGAGCTGTCGCCGTCTCGGACTAAACACCTTGCCATCTTTCCTGAGGGTACGCACAATGACACCTGGCAGTGCCAGGGTTATTTTGCCGCCCTAGAGCAGTTCATGAAGGAGCTTCTAAAAAGCCATGCCCGAGAAGAGACGGCCCAGGGGACGACCAACGTCACCATAATCTAGAAGAGTTATTACTATTGACTGCTCTAAATCTGGACCCTCTCAGATAGAATGTACAATTTATTCTCTCTTTGTTATTATTATTTCTCTTCTCCCCAACTTCTACGCTCTTTCTTTCCATTGATCACACACCAAGAATTCATTATTTACAATTTCCTTTATTTAATAGAGAAGGATGAATTTAAGCCTTCAGAACTTTTTTTTTTGGTCGTTTTTTATATATCAAGTATGAATGCACCTGCCTCAAGAATTTAATGCCCTTTGAGTCCTTTTTTATTTACCCACAATTTCTGCCCTCATAAGTATTCTAATAGCCCTACCACCTGCAAACGCAATTGGAAATAGTTGTTTGCCTAATCACAATGGTCAGAACTTCTTTCTTAGTTTGAACTCTTCAGTCTAGATGTCAGTTATTTAGAATAGTGGTTTAAAATACGTGACTAAAATAATGTCTGCGGTTACCATTATATGAGGAGACTGTCACGTTTGTCCTACCTCTTATATCTCATACATACAAATTGTAGAAGTTGGTAACGGTAAGGTTAAATTTGCTAAAAAGATTACTTGAATTTGAGATTTACACTTTTAGAAAACAAAACAGCTTTAAAAATCACATTTGAAGTATGGCTGTATGTAATTTATGTTAACCACTGACTACTATTCCAAAAACTCCTAGGTTTTAGGACTGCTAAACTAAACAACTCTAACAAACTGAGAAGCTCTATTTTTATTTATTTTGTTTATATGTAATGTATAAATTTTTTTTTTAAACAGAGGGCTCATTAAAATTGTTTGCCTTTTAAATTCCAGTGAATACAGTTAAATGGACCAGGGGCAACTGATCCTAGTTCACTCATTTTGTCTATGGCATTTCATGCATTCAATCTTCTGAACCCGGCTGTAATGTGTTGGAGCTTTATTTTATCACACTGCCTTCTTTTTTTTTTACGGAAGGTTTAAAATCCACTCAGGAAATCGGCTCATTGTGGTTTGATCCCATGTCTTGGCTTTGCATATGGAGCTGTGTGTGAGAAGTATAGATTTCTATACTGATTTTCATGTGGGCTGCAGTTCACTGTGAGCACTGAATGAAAATACCAACCCAAGAAGCCTAAAGTATGTTTACTCTTTCTCAGGCTTAGTGATCTTCTGAAAGTAAGAGTGAAATCGCACATAGCAGCTGCTTGACAGTGTTCCAAGCACAGTCCATTTGCACAACTTGTAAATAAGATGTTTTCCTTCTTTTAATAAGGTAATTTGCTTAACATCAGATCTCTGCCAATGCCCTGTTTTGTTTGGATCATGTTGGAAAAACCTGCCCAATGGTGACTGTTGCACTGTGTCGCACATCCATTTTCTTGCACTTACCTTAAAAAGCAGAAACATTCACAATAATGCAAGGTTTAATTAACACACACATTTAAATTGCCATCATTTATGCTTTTCCATACCTGTATGACTTTTTCTTCAGTGGAACACATTAGGAGAAATGTTCTAATTCACTAAAAATCTTCTCCAGGGAGTTGAACTTTGAGTTGAATCTGTTAGAATTGTGAAGTCTTTGCAACACAGATCAACAGATTCATTCACAAGATTCTCTCGTGATGATTCATTGAAGAACAAATACAATTTCAGTCTGTTCCTCATTGAAAGATTCTTTCCTCTTTCATTGTAGTTGAAGAGCAACCAGCACATTCTTTGAAATGTCTCCTTTTGTGTTCCACAGAAGAATTTCCATTCTTTTAACTATTTAATGTATTGAATCGGGGGTAAAGACATGAGGTTTGTGTTTCTGTAGTCTCACATTGGTGGTTGACTGTCAAGCGCCCATTAAAAGGTGAACGGTGGACTTTGCAAACCTGGCCCATTATGATGTAGTGTTGGATCAGTGCACATCCAAGTCTGTAATTATTGCATGCTTTAGATGCTCAGCACATTTCGTTTAGCTCTGACGCACTTTTACGCTCACGTCTGTTGTAATGCGTGAAAACTGCCTGTGAATTTTAAGATGACAGATTTCAAGGCAGATTGATCCTATGTCAGTTTGCATGCAAATTTTGCTATCTTCAAACCAGAGGTTATGCCAGGCTTCCAAAGTCCACCTTTCGGGACTTGACGGGCTCTTTTGCACCTGTCGTTCTCAAGGGTGCTTAAGAGATTGTATAGTAGCACAGCTGAGCTCTAGATGTCTTCAGTTATGTCTAGTATTATTTATGTTTATTAGTTATGTGGTAACAGGACAGTTGTAATTGAGTAAGAAGTGGAACCAACCAATGCAAGAGAAAAAGTTCCCATGACGTCGGCTTTTGGGTGGTTTCAGGACATAAGATACTCTTGTATATCAATTTATTGACATTTTGATTTTAAAAGAAATATTCGTAATGGTCGTTATTGATCATATAGGCCTAATTCATAACAACTGCCTCTAAACGGAATAGGAAATATTTTCAGAATAAAATTATTTGCAATGTGTCATTTAGTTGAACTCAAAGTGACGTGCCATGATACCTTATTGAATGTCTGTGTGGTTGAGTGTTAACCTTGAAACAAAGATGCTGAAATATGATAAAATAGTGAGAAAAAAAAACTACTTAAGAGTTTACTAGATTTGACTAACACACCATCGGCATGTTCTGGCCATTCTCTGGGGCTAGTTTGTATGTTGAAATCTCATTTCATCTTGTTCGTAAACTGAATGAAATAATATAAATATTAGTTATGTGGTAACAGGACAGTTGTAATTGAGTAAGAAGTGGAACATAAGGTGGTTTCAGGACATAAGATACTTTTGTATATCAATTTATTGACATTTTGATTTTAAAAGAAATATTCGTAATGGTCGTTATTGATCATATAGGCCTAATTCATAACAACTGCCTCTAAACGGAATAGGAAATATTTTCAGAATAAAATTATTTGCAATGTGTCATTTAGTTGAACTCAAAGTGACGTGCCATGATACCTTATTGAATGTCTGTGTGGTTGAGTGTTAACCTTGAAACAAAGATGCTGAAATATGATAAAATAGTGAGAGAAAAAAAACTACTTAAGAGTTTACTAGATTTGACTAACACACCATCGGCATGTTCTGGCCATTCTCTGGGGCTAGTTTGTATGTTGAAATCTCATTTCATCTTGTTCGTAAACTGAATGAAATAATATAAAGTGCTGCTCATGTTTTATATTTGCTTTTTACAGTAAATAGCAGAGTGGAAAGATTCAGTTCTGAATGTGCAAGGAGGGTTTTCTTATTCTTTCGACATTTGTGTTTTGAGCTCTGGGTTTTCTATTCGAATCATTTGTTCATGTACATACAATTAAATCACACTTTCTATTTTCTGTGTGGTGACATGCAATAAAGAAATCAAACCCTTCTGATAACTTGCCTGCAAGAGTCTAATTGTGCTCTGAAGCTGCTGGTTCCTGTTTTCACTCTGGAAACTCCACTTTAAAAAAAGAATGAAACTGATGTTTTTTTGTTTGTTATTTTTGATTTTATACCAAGAATAGCTTTCGCTTTACTGGTCAGCGTCATTTATATTCATTCTTCTGTGCTGATATTCTATGATAACAAACATGACATTTTCATTTATCTACTGTTTATCTTTGCACATTTGACGCAGTTTGTCGGAACAGAAAGTGGTGACAAAGCAACTTTCAGTTGCAGTGCAGTGTTGAATACAGTGGGTGTGGATAGCTGAGCAGGAAAGGGACACAAAAACCAGACTGTTAGCTGGAGAATTGTAGCAGACGGGACGTTTTTTGTAAGTGCAGTTGCTTTTGTAGATCACAGGAGTTGTCCTCTATATCAACAAATATCAGCTTGAAGAGGAAGGGAAGTTATGTATAAGAGTCTGATCCAGGACTTTTCAGAAAGCAATGTGTGTTAAGAGCTTCAGAGGAACATTCATGCCATATGACGGTGAATTGGATTCAGCAGGCATAAAGAAAACCTCCAGATGAGCTTCTTTCTGAGTAGAAACCTCCCACTGTAAGGATCCTGCATGATTGAAGTCATGTTTTGAGGTGGGTTGAGATCTTCAAAGAAATAAAACTTCTTCAGAATCTGTCTATATGCCATTCAGGCTAAATTGATTCACTAATAACCATATTTCCTAAAAGTTTGTTTCCACCATGCCTGCTGAAGATGTTGGTCCAGGTCGGGGTGAAAGGAGAAGGTTGCCATGGCTGTTTCTGGTGCTGGTCATTGCTGCAATCACATCCTCTTCCCTGTCTGTGATCTCCCTGTACCATGTGCTGGCCCTGCAGGCCGAGGTGGAGGGTTTGAGAGCCGAGGTGGTCCGCAAGAGAGAGGAGCAAAGCGGAACACTAGAGGAACCCATGAAGGGGGCAGAAAAACAAACCCATCAGCAGGAAGAAGAAGAGAGCAAAGAGAGAATTGAGGTTTGGACCACAACACATGTACATCAAATGTTTTTCTAAAAAGCGGTGTCTTGTAAATGTGATGAATTTGAAGGAATTGCATAAATAGCAGTTAGTTGTGACATGGGGAAGATGTCTCAATGGTTATATCTCAGTAACTTTAATGTTCGGAGTCCAACTGGTTGTTGGAGAACACGTAAATTAACAGTGTCAATGTTGCAAATTTCATCATCAATTATTAAACAAGTTCAACTCTGCTATAAGCAGAGCTATATGCTGCTATAAGTGGCATTAGTTAATACTTTTGTAGTCAAAAGACTTTAAGGTATGTCCCTAAACAGAAATGGACTTTCCAGAAATATTCACAAGAAATATTCACTAAAATAAAGTAAAAAAGTGTGACAACTAGCACCAGTCCCATCTACTTGTCTAGTTGGGAGAGAAAAAAAATAGCTAAACTGGTTTAGCTATGACCAACCTAGATGCAGATATATTTTGGGTACTTTCATGCTGGTCAAGGTGGCCATTATAATCTACCACACACAATAAGCTGGTTGTCTGTGTACAGTATCTGCAGCAGACTGAGATGGATGATACCATAACAGACCATGCTGTCCTGTCAAAAAGGAGCCTGGGTCATACTTCAAATAAAGCAGGCAAGCCCACACTTCTGCTTATTCCGTGATGCTCATCTCGTCTTTTCTTTTTTGAGTGTTAACTGAGAAGTGCTGTGGGTTTGGTGCGGAGCAAAGATGGTGTAAGATTAGAACTACTCAATAAATAAAAAACAAAACATGCACATTGTGCAAAAGTGCACCATTAGACATTTGCATATCCTGTTGCTTTGAGTCACTGAATGCAAAACCCTTATGATATTATTATTAGAGTTGCACCACCGTGATCATTGTCATCTCTTACAGACAATACTCAGTTAAGAAATGTGTAGTAAGAATACATGTATGTTCACAGTAAACAAATTACATTTTATTCTCCTTGTGTGTGTATTGTATTCATTTTTTTTATGTGAAAAAAAACTCTTCTGCCCATCCACAGAACCCCAGCCCTGCTTACAGATGATGGCAAACAACAAGAGAAAAACATTCCAGAAAGGTACTGGAGGAGTGGCATAGACTTAAGTTAAATTACGTTCAATTGATCCATTTAATAAATTATGACCTTGCTTTTGCTAGTGCTAGTTCATTGTACTATGAAAGCACACTGTAACTTTTAGAAATCAAAACATCATTTCCAGTCTAAAAAGAGCTTTTTATTAGAACTGGCCTGCAATGACATGTTCTGAACTCCTGTAACTTTGTGGCTTCACACATGTGATTGTGAACATGTCAGTGACATCAGTTGGGTGTCCAGGAAATCTGCATAGATGTAACACCTACTTTTCTACATATAATCTGAGAAATCCCAGTGGTAGAATAGATTGCATGACATTTCAAATTCCCTGATTTTACAACCCAATCTCATGGGAAAACGTAACTATTTTGCAAGGTAGCGATTTTGTAAATTTCATGAAAATGTAACATTTTTAGAAAAAAAACTAATAAGTATGAAGGCCTGCCTCTAACCCCAACCCTAAACATAACTGTCAGATCGTCCTAAAACGTATGAATGAGATCGTTGCAGTTTGAGCAGCACATGTCAGCTCAGATTGTTTTATGAATCTATCATACTGTTTAGACTGTTATCAAATGATATTCTATATTCGACACAACAGCAAACATTTAAGTCAATATGTGAGCAGAACAAGAGAAAGTACTCTTTTCACATTTAAGCGTCGATAGACACGTTTCCTTGTCTGGCCTTTTGTTGGATTTGGAGTTTTTTTGCATTTGAGGAAGCCCCTAATTTCAGAAGATGGTCTCTCTCTCTCTCTCTCTGTTCATATTTTGTTAGAGTTTGCTTTGGAATTATGCACAGCCATCCCATGGCAAGTCGGACTGAAGCGTGGCTCAGCTCTGGAGGAAGAGCAGGGCACCATTTTAGTTAAAGAGGAAGGATTCTTCTTTATCTATAGTCAGGTATATAAATTGTGAATGTTTAACACGTTCTTGAGTTTTTTGGCCTCTTTGAAACATCCCAACACAGTGCTCAGAGTTTTTTTCCTCATTATTTCAAGCTCTCCTTTTCCCAGGTTTACTACACAGACTCTACGTTCGCTATGGGCCACATCGTGATTCGTATAAAGAAGAACGTTGTAGGAGACGAGAGTCAGCACGTTGTTCTGTTCCGCTGTATTCAGAGCATGAATCGAGTCAATCACTTCAACACGTGCTACACTGGAGGTGAGCGTGGAAAGGCCTGCTACTTTATCAGTGTTACTAAAGAGTTACAAAGTGCAAATTCTCATTACTGTAATGTATCTAGACATTTTACTTCCCAGGCTTTTCTAAATCTTTTTTGTATATTTTATAATATATATTATACTGTATATTATAAATTCTAATTCAAAATTGCTTTATTAGCATGACTGTAAACAATACAATATTGCCTAAGCTCAGGATATACTGTATGTACAGATATATTTTTGGACACTAAGGTATAATTTAAGGTAATATATAAAGTATAATATATATATATATATATATATATATATATATATATATATATATATATATATATATATATATATATATATATACACAC